TAGCGGTGTGGTTCTGTTAGCAAAGTGGTTCTGTTAGCGGTGTGGTTCTGTTAGAGGTGTGGTTCTGTTAGCGGTGTGGTTCTGTTAGCGGTGTGGTTCTGTTAGCAGTGTGGTTCTGTTAGCGGTGTGGTTCTGTTAGCGGTGTGGTTCTGTTAGCGGTGTGGTTCTGTTAGAGGTGTGGTTCTGTTAGCGGTGTGGTTCTGTTAGCGGTGTGGTTCTGTTAGCGGTGTGGTTCTGTTAGCGGTGTGGTTCTGTTAGCAGCATGATGATGATAACGACCGCAGCAACCTATGATGACTGCCCTCCACATAATTAGCATTAGCCTGCTAATTTAAAATTTAATCAACGTGTTTTTAGAGTTGTGTTGTAATTTGCTTTAGTTTAAACTTTTATTTAAAATCTGTTATTTATAATTTGTCACCAACCCTAACTGCTATTAAGTATATCAATGAACTTGGTTAGAAATGTAAATACCTGTAATGAAACCATCAGTGCACTTGACTGCAGACTGCCATTTCTTTTAAAAAATAAATCCAAGTTATAAAATATTATTTTCGGACTATTTTGTTCTTTATATACAATGTTCTTATTGTCCAAATATGTTGCGTAAAAAAAAGTTATCAACATATATTATTAATGGAAAACAATATTTTTCCAGCTAAAGTTGTAGTTAATTCAACAAGGCCTCTTTTGTACATTTTCTGAGTACACTTCATAGTACTAGTAAAATGTTAGTGGATAAAACACCAACATTTTGCTTCAAAATACCAAGAAACCACATTTGATCTTGCTCGTCCAGTGAGCGTGCGCAGTAACGCCACAATCAAAGTTGATTATTGTCACGATGCGCCCACATTTTATCACCCACCATCAGATAAGTTCCCATATTTACATTCCATACTCAGAATGCTTGTCCTGGTTTTTCCACTGTGTGTGTGGAAAAGATGTCAAAAGAACACCAGAACAGCAGTCTTCATGGATAAAAATGTCTGTAATGTCATTAGTTGTGTTTTGCTGACAGTCTTTTAATTTGTTAGTTGCTGTTTAAACCAGGAAAACAAAGTCCGTGAACTGTAAATTCCCATGTCATTTGAACGAGTACCAGACTTTTACTGGCACTTCAGTTTTTGTCCTTTTTGTGTTAAAAAATAAATAAATTAGCATTAAGCTGTCTTTGATTTCTTCTCGAGCTCATTTTGTTTTCTCTCTTCCAGATGGCTGTGTCAGTGCGAGGCCTGTACTTTGTCACAACTCTATTTTTGGGTAGTTTCTTTGGGAGTATCTTCATGCTGGGTCCAGTGCTGCCACTCCTGCTGTTGTCTCCTGCCTGGTACCGCTGGCTCACTGATCGGATCGTTGCTACCTGGCTCACCCTGCCTGTGGTGTGTACACTATGACTTTATGTTTTTTCATTTAATTAGATCAGTTTTTGAAAAAAACTTTTTTTTTCTTGTCATAATCTCAATCTTTCCACCTTGTTTTTTTTTTTTTCTTTAAAAAATGTTCTTGGATTTGTTGTTTTTAATAAAACTTGTCTTTTTTCCCTAACCCTTCCCTTGTGCCTTCCCCTGCACTCGCTCTCTGTTTTCTCTGTAGTCGCTGCTGGAGCTGGTATTTGGGGTGAAGGTGGTGATTACAGGAGATGGCTTTATTCCTGGGGAGCGCAGCGTGATCATCATGAACCACCGCACCCGTCTGGACTGGATGTTTCTTTGGTGTTGTCTGCTCAGGTACAGCTACCTTCGTCTGGAAAAGGTCTGCCTCAAGGCTGCACTCAAGGCCGTCCCTGGCTTCGGTGTGTATACAGTGGGTGTCCTGCCCTTTTCCCCTCGTCCACACACAAACACATTCTTTGACACGTGCACAAAATAATGCCAGCTTTTCAGGGCATATCCAAAAACGTATAATTGCACAACAATTTGCAGCAAAATTCTTTAGTCCCTTGTTTCTGCAGTTCTTCAGAAGAGCCTGACTTTTTTAAGCAGTAGTTCTCTCGACCGTTTAGAGGTATTTTTAGATATTTTGTAGTAGACGTTAGCTACTTTTTTAAGTCCCTGTACCTGAATTTCTTCAAAGGAAAGTTTTTGGAATGTTAATCTATTTAACATGAGATTGTTATTCATTAAAGTGTAAAAACAGCTTCAGAACTCGAAGCACGAACTACCATAGGCTTGATATAAAGGCCTGTCACAATAAGCAATAAATCAATTAATCGCATGATAGATGAAAATTATCAACCTCATTTTCATTTATCGGCTTTATCGTTTCTTCGTGTCTCTCTCTTTCTACTGAAGACCCTGGATGACAAAAGGCTCAACTCCGGTGCTCTTCACTGACTCCTCCCTTTCTCTTTAAAATCCATTTTAACGATTGCGTTTTTGGATCGTTAAAAGTAGCTAAGCTGAGAAGCTAAGCTACGAGCTACGCTAACAGACCGACCTCGGGGAAAAAACCTCCGTCTTATCGAAGCTCCAAAATTCACAGTTGAAACCCGTGCCTTTGTGTAAAAAGTTGTTTTTCTCTGAGAAAAGAAGCTGAGAACTTGTTTGCTGATTTTTTATTAAAAGCTTTGTGTGACAAATGCTATGCTAAAGAGCTCACACCACACCGAGCAGCCGTCATTTTGAGAACCGAATTAAGGACGGAGAGACAGCCCATGTCGCGTCAAGGGGCCTCCCTCCCATTTTTGTTAGAGACACGCTGCTCGCTCCCTCACTTTCCATCCTTCAGTTCAAACAGTCTTATACTGCCATCTGGTGGTCGACAAAAGGTACTACACTCAAAAATTTAACCTACATTTCTTCTTAAATTTGACAGTAATGACTAATTATTGTAAACTTTCAAACAATATTACCGTTTATCGCAATAATTTCTGAGACAATTAATCGTCCAGCAAAATTTGTTATCATGACAGGCCTATTCATATATCAGAGAACTTAGCAAAGAACCTATTTTATGTCTTTGGACACTTTACTAAGGGTTAGTCAAAAAAACAAAATGTGTCCCCATTTTTTAAAATTGGTAGCACGGTGGATTAGTGGTTAGTACTGTTACCTCACAGCATAAAGGTCCCGGGTGCAATTCCCAGTTTGAACCTGGAGTCTTTCTGTGTGGTTTGCATGTTCTTCCTGTGTTTGCCTGGGTTTTCTCTGTTTCCTCCCACAGTCCAGAAGCATGAATGTGTAGGTTGCCTTCAGGCTCGGCTCCTTCCAAAGGAGACCTGTGATCTTAATGGGATTTTCCTGGTTAAGTAACTAAATGTAACAGTTTAACTTTAACAAAGTATTTTTAAACTAAAACGGGCACATCTAAAAAACTATTAGTAAAAAATGTCATATTTTGGTGTTCTCTGCAGCGCGTGCTTTCAAGGTTTTATGAGACGAGAACAAATGAAGCACATTGTCGTGCTTCAAATACTTTTTACAGGAAATGAACCATCACCAAAAGACTTACTGAACTGCATCATCCTTCAGTTGAACATTACTGGAGTTCAGGGTTTGTGCTTGGTGTCTTGGCCTGCATTATTTATGGATACAACAAAAGAATTAGAAACATGTTTCACCTTTTTGTTCTTTGATTTTAATATCAAAAAGACAGAAGATGCTTGTTAAATTGGTTCTTTGTTCTTTATAAATATTCCACTTGGCTTGTTTATTGCTTGACAAACTCTCATTTTGGGGTGGGTGGATGTTTGCTTCATCAGTGGTAAAATAAGTTAAAAGCAGCTACTTTCAAAAGAAAACTTGATAAGGTTGAATATGAAGTGTGTTTTTTTTTGCTAAGAACTTCAGGCTCAGTCGGCTTTGAAGTCTCTCCTGACCAGTTAAAGATAGAGTTACCAGTGACGTGTCATGATTTTACGTGCTCCTTGCAGGGTGGGCAATGCAGGTGGCCTGTTTCGTCTTTATTCAGCGTCGTTGGGAGGTGGACAAAGAACATTTGGAAAACATGCTGGACTACTTTTGTGACATCAGGGAGCCCCTGCAGCTGTTACTGTTTCCCGAGGGCACAGACCTCACTGGTGAGAAGTAAACAAAGTAAAAATGCACACATTTTAGGGACCATTTGTCTATTGTCCATCAGGGTGAGTGCTTGGTGAACTCTGCGTAGTGTTTAATAAACCGTTGTAGGGTGGATGTGTCTGAATACATTGACAAACACGACACGTTGTTTCGTCAAGATTTCCACATCACAGTTAAGGATTTCAGTTAGTCCACATTGTAATTGTCTTGTTTTATGGTCCTCCCTGTGCGTCTGTTTGCTTCCATGTCCACACATATTTGTGTTTAAGCCTCCTAAACCCAAAGGCTTAATTTGACACATGAAACCAGGACACATACACATTATGTTCTGGCATCCTACACAGAGGTTGTTGCGTTAAACACTCCCTAACACTTTATTGTGAAGGCTTACAGCAGACCTTTGTCTTGAGGATCATGTTCAGATAATATTAAACTTAAAACATGTACATGACTCAATGCTAAGCTTTTTGAATTAAATAAGACAACAATTAATAACTTTGAGAGCTTGTAGATTTTTGGATGAGAAATTTGATTGGTAATTGTAATGTTTTAGAAGCGCACCGCTCGGGGCAGCTGCGTGTTGGAGCAGCTCTGTTACTTTAATTCTGAGTTATTGCTTTTGAAAACTTTAATTCCTCTTTTTCTGGACGTAAATCACTTCTTTTTTTATGCATCAGTGGTCATCAGGTCATCTGGACAGTTTCTTTGTTGAGAGACGTTTCTCCCTCCATCCGAAGGGCTTCATCAGTCTGAGAAGTCCCAATCAAACGTGAGCATGAACCTTGATGTCTTGAACCACTTTGGCTGTGGCAGTTTGGGAGGAGTCGACGGGGGAGAGGACCCAGAAACCATCTGATCACCAGCAAACTGGTTGGTCCACTGTAGGAGTGTACTGCTTAGTGGGGTAAACAGTTTGTCTGACTTCTCAGACTGATGAAGCCCTTCAGATGGAGGGCTGTCCAGATGACCTGACTGAACATCGTTGGATGTTTTACCTGGATTACTGAGCATGAAGTTTCTTGATATTTTGGATTGGTTCCTCTGGTATCAGATGCTGTGCAGCTGGAAGGATTTTTACTGAAACTTTTTTTTAAGTTTTGGACATTTGTTATGATGCGTAACCATGACAACAAAGTGTTTTTTCACAACCGGGAACAGCTGATTAACATCTCAAAAGCTCAAATAATACATCAGCTACAGCCCCAAATCTCAAATGAGTTGAAAAGGAGGCGCCGTAGATGCATTCCCGTCTCCCTGCCGGCTGTGCTCGAGTGTCTGACCACTGAGATCCTGGAACTATCAGGAAACACGGCTCATGGCAGCAGAAGGACAGGATCTTCCCCTGGCACCTGCAGCCAGCTGTCCACAGCAACAAGGAGCTCGGCAGGCTGCTGGGAGGAGTTCTGCCACTGCCCGGAGGAACCGGGAGGTCAGCTGAGTGTGGGTGGACGGATCGGACAGCACCTGCGGCCAGTTTCTTCTGATTCGCTGTGGGACGGACCTTTACAAGAGATCCTTCCTGCCCTCAGCATCTATAACATCTCTTAATGAAACGAGGACAACGAGTTACAACAACATTTAATTTCCCTTTGGGATTAATAAAGTATTTTTGAATTGAATTGAATTTTGTAATAGTTACTGATTAGTCTAATGAAGTTTAAAAAATGTGGTTGTACAAAAATAGAATAATTAGTTTATTGCGTTCAGCTTTAAAAGAGATAAAATGCTACACAAGGGCGGCTGTGGCTGAGTGGTTAGAGCAGTCGTCCTCCAATGCAAGAGTTGGGGGTTCGAATCCACCAGCAGTCACATGTCGAAGTGTCACTGGGCAAGACACTGAACCCCTCACTGCCTTCGATGTGTCCCATCGGTGTATGAATGTGATAAAGCTCTGATTAGTCTCTTTAGAATGATTTGTTCAATGAGCTTTGTAGAGATCTAGTATAGAGCTGTATGAATGGATAAATGAGGCACAGATTGCTGTAAAGAGCTTTGAGTATCTTCACAAGATAGAAAGGTGCTATATAAGTACAGTCCATTTACCATTACACATCCAGTGTGTGTAAAATGACAAAACACTACATGTACATGAGCGTGTCGTTGCCTGAGGTTTATTTTGTGTTTATTTTACTCTCCCCTGCAGAAAATACACGAGCGAAGAGCGATGCGTTTGCTGTAAAGAACAATTTGCCAAAGATGGAGTATGTTCTTCATCCTCGCACCACCGGATTCACCTTCATTGTGAACCGACTACGAAAAGGTCAGGATGATCCACATGAGCAGCTTCTAGAGTTATGTAAAGTCTATGTTCATCATAACAGTCCATTTACAGTTAGTCTGCGGTCCGGCAGCAGACACGTGCACTTTTCATGACTTATGTTTGCCCAAATGAAATTTAACATGCCACAAAATAATCCTGCCATCACTGTGGAAATATTTCATCAGCAAAACCAACAGACAAATTATACCTTAAAGTGTTCACTTTGTATTTATAGGTCATGGCTGATACCTGTTATTCTTTTAAGCCCTAAACTTGTGCTTCATCTCCCTGTAACTCATATTACAGTATGAGCTCATTCTGGCAGCCCTCCAGGGGTTTTAAATGCCACATCTGTCTCACCCTCGCTCACCCTGTTTGCTGATGATGGTGCAAACACTCCATGCAGGTGTTGTGATGTCATAGGCTGTAGCTTATCCTGCTCCTCTCGCTGCTCCACTGACTGACATGATGTGCACGTTGTCTTTATCTGGCTCTTCTGTGCCCCTTTCGTTTATTTTACCAGGACAGAGCTAAGCTGTGCAGGAGCTGGCTCTGGCAGGTGTCACCCTGTATTTGGATATTTTATTTGGCGCTCTCTGTTTGTTGTAAAGGCAGCAGAGCTCAGTTATTTTGCATGAATAATTACGGTAGTGGTAAATATTGTTCTTTATGCTTAAAAATAATTTCTATTAATCGAACATTTTTTCCTTGATTTTAAATTGTGTGTCTTTTTCTAGGTGATAACTTGGATGCCGTCCATGACATCACAGTGGCATACCCCAAGAACATCCCTCAGACAGAACGCCACCTCATAATGGGACAATTCCCCCGTGAAATCCACTTTCATGTCCGCCGCTATCCAGTCTCTGCTCTCCCAACCTCATCTTCTGACTTAGAGTCTTGGTGTCAGCAACGTTGGGCTGAGAAAGAGATCCGTCTGCGGGACTTCTACTCAGGCCAGCCCAGAGCCTTTGACAGGGACGGTGTTGCACGTGTGCCACCTTGTAAGTCGGAGCTGCGAGTGGCTCTGATCAAAGCTGCCTCGCTGCTGTACTGGAGCAGCTTCATTGCTCTGTGTTTCACTGGCCTGTGGCTCTGGGGCTCTTTCAGGCTCTTTGCTCTGGTTATGATTGGAGTTTACATGGCCCAGCTGAAGCTGTTTGGTGGGCTGGAACTGCTGGAGATGGCTTGCCATCGATATTGGAGGTCCATGGGTGCAGATGGGCGTGAGAAAAACAAGGTGCTAGATGGAAAGATACAGTAGAAATGAAAAACTGTTATGACTGTAAAACATATTTGCACTTAAAACCAGCAAGGACACTTGGTAGATTTGGTCTGTTGTGTTTTGTATGAGGCTTATGGGCTCTTTTTGAGAAAATGAAGAAGTCGCATCTTAGTGAGTAACAAGGTAGCTTTCTGAGTGCATGCAAGGCTTCAGTGGAAAGCTTTCTATTAAAAAGGAATAAGTACTTTTATCCTTGCTAGATTCAAGGATGACGTCACCTCTGATGTTTCACTGTATGTTTTTATTTCTCTTCTTGCACAAATACAGCTACTAAATTAAGTTTTAGTACAGTTTTATCAATTTTACATTATTCTTGTTTAATATGTGTATGCTGAATGAATTGCCTTTGGTTTTATATCATAAATGGATCAGAGCCATAATTCAGACCATGTGATGACTTGACTCCACTTGTATAATGTCACGTTTTGCCCTAGGAATTATGTAAGAAATATACAGGGATTTGCCGTACGCGTATGTATGTATTGTGGTTTACCTTTTATCAGGTCCACTTTGCTTTTTAAACCAAATTAAAACCTTAGCTTTTTCAGTTTGTGCTCATCAAGATTCTCAGTCATCCAGAACATAGCAAGAAAAAACAAACGAAAATTAATGAAACGGAACAACTAGACCAGGGGTGCCCAGACTTTTTCAGCATGCGAGCTCCTTTTAAAATGACCAAGTCAAAGTGATCTACCTGCTGTAAGACCCAGGTTACAGAGACCAACCTCTGGAAACTTTAGTGTTTTTACAATGTTTATCGGGGGTAGTAAACAGAAAATGAGCGGGTTTACACAAAAACGCTATGGTTTCCTTGCCAGTCGGGTTGCCAGATAAGAAATTATGAACTCTAGTACTGTGGCTTTAAAATGATAGTGTTTTGACCTAAACGGTCATATCTGCTGAGTAAAGATATTCTAAGATGAGGTGTGTGCTGTGTTTGTTGAACATGTGCACAGAAAAGGAGGGGGTAAATAAAACATTTTAATTTATCTGGCAACCCTGAGTCCAGCTCAGCTGCATTCATTGCGCATGCAGCGTCTGCATGATCACAGTTACTGGTGAATACACCAACGCCTCTTTGGACGAAAAAGAGTGAGAGGATGAGGGCTGTCGTGTAAATGGATCCTCAGACCGGCTGCCCCGTCTGTCAGTCAAGTGACAAATTTCATAGATGGACGAGAGGCTGACGTCTGGTTTTAATGCCGTCTACCCATAATACCTTTGTGATCAACTGGTAGATTGTGATCGATTTATTGGGCACCCCTGAACTAGACAGTTATTATGGTCTTTGCCTTCTGAGCCAGGTAAACAAGACTCTAATGACTCTCTCAACAGAGACCCACAGCTTAAAGCTTGGAACTGTGAGCACAGAAAGCTCAACTCAAAGATGGGCTGCGAAGCAGAACGTCTTGAACTACAAAACAAAAGTCCACTTGTATTTTTTTTATTTGGTCCTACAAGTTGGCCTGCTGTTTGTCATTTGTCAAGAAGATTTAGCACAAAAAGCCAAAGTTGAGACAATATGTACCAAAATGTAAAAAAAACAAAGTAATCAAACAAATTTTTTTGTTGTCAGGGAGAAAAAGCTGCTACACCACTGGCAAAGCTGATTTACTATAAAACTCAAGATTTACATGAATGGCTGTAAAAGCAGATGAGCTGTGTGTACTTTGAGAACAAAGTGTCGCCTCGTCGAGACAGGATTTTGATGGAAGAACGTCCTGTTGAGACAACATCACCCTTCAGTGTGCAGGGTGGCACAGCAAGCCAGACTTGGAGTGGAAAACTGGCCCTGAAGTCAGCCTAATCCAACAAAATGCCCACCTCTCCCCACGGCTCTCCTGACTGGCACCAGTGTGCCTGCTATGTTCAATTATCGAGTGACAGCTGAGAAAGCTTTGGCACTTAGGCCAAAAATGGACAAATGAACAACGGTTTGAAGCAGTGCTTCAACTGCACTCTTAGATCGCTCCTAATTTTATTTTGAATCGCATTAATCCATTAGTAAATGACCATTGTCTTGGTTTATAGCAGTTTCTGTGCAATGTGTGATATCCAACCACGTCAGCCTCCACTTGTGGGACTAGTCTGTCACAATCCACACAGCAGAAGTGTCTTCAGTGTATACAGCTCTGCAGCTCCCGTTGTTCATGTGTAAAGAATGGGTTCCAGTCACTGTGATGCAGCTGTATGAACAGTTTTATTATGTGCATGTAGACTTTTACACAGTCTGTTTCTTCAAATTGTTTAAACTCTCAAATGAACCACACTTTCCATGCAGATGTTTTTCTGTTGTGTTGAGTTGTTCAAATGCAGATGCTGGACTTCAGTGAGGTCACAGTCCTCAGGTAAACGATGTGGACACGTTTTAAACACTCCATAAGGAAGGTATACAATGTGTGTGTGAGTGTCAATACGTCTGATGTCACCTCATTAAAGTCTCCTTTAATTAGATTTTTGTTCTTTCGTGTTTTGGGCTGTTCAGGAAACGAACACGGAGTCTCATGGTGAAGGACACCGTAGGTCATTTCACAATCAGGATGAGCTTTATTATCATTACACTGAAGTACAGTGTACATTTAAGACGTCAATAAAACTCTGCCAGCAAGAACATTTATAGACGTTACATCTACATTCGATGATGAGATGGTGAGATTTGTCCATGAAGCACTTCCAGGTAGCTCCATAGTCCTGATAAGATGTTGGTGTCAGCTCTGATAAGCGTTCACAGAAGTTCTTGGGGGACGGATAGAGCAGAGCCTTCTTAGTTTACACATATCCCAGGAGAAATGTGATAAGTTGGTCTACTTCAAGGCCGAACAGGGGAGTCAGATTCAGATAAGCCACAGATGTTCTTTTTTTTCAGGCAGACTGTTGTTTCTCGTCAGCCTTGAGTTCTGCTGGTACTTTGGACATCCAAAAAAGACAGATTTGTGGACATTCCACTGGTTCGTGCTTATTAGCTCCCTGCAAGGTCGTCCCCAACTTGCTGGCGAGTCCTAGAAGCCACAAGTGGCCTACGATTCTCATAAATGCTCCATCTTACGTTTGAGCTCGTAAATCAGCTGAGTCTGAGTGTTCGAAGCACAAACCAAACCTTCACACAAGGTTGGCAGCTTTGCCATGGCTGGAACTGCCGCCGCCGTCTTCTTTAAGAGCCGATAACCTCCAATGGTGCCAAAAAGCAGAAACCGTGCCATCATAAGTCCAGTGGTATAATCCATGATGTACCCTGCTGCGTGAGCCTCAGCAGAGCATGAGGGTTCTCCAGGACTCTGTCGTTTGGTTGAAAATTTTGTATCGGTTGCGTTGAACGTCCTGCTGACCAGATCCATGACTAGCAGGTTAAGCTGTAGCACATACACAGCTAAAATAGCCTAATTAGCTTTTGTGCCCTGTTTGACTAGAGCTGTATTTTCTTTACTCAACACTTTTTCAACGATAGTGTTGTTTTGCCAACGCTGACACTTTGATCAGCTGCAGGTTGTCTCGTGTAACATCCAGGCAGCCCTTTTAATCCAGAAAGTTCTTGAATAATGGCTACATCGCAGCGAATGGGTAAACAAGTCCTTGAACATTTAGATTACACAACACACACACTATAGTTTGCCTTGCCTGTTTTACACACACACATCTACCACCGGCAGCCAAAAAGGTCAGGAGCTTTGAAGGTGAAGTGCAGTCGCCATAGTAACTCGTGTTGACTCCCATGTCTCCTGGCAACGGGATGTGGAATGATGTCAATGGAAAGCATGCTATTTTCAACTGGTGACAGAATGATGTCATTCTTTTGTGTGTGTGAAGAGAAAGGGAGAAGTTTTATTCTACATATTGGGGTTGGTGACAATCAGGAAAATAAGAAAAGGGAGAGGATTAACTAAAATCGCTGCCAGGGGAGGGTGAATCATGTCAATCAAGTGCAATCTTCTATTTTTACTTCCCTTCTAACGTTCTCAGCATCTAAATGTTTGCTCAGAGATCTGACAGTGGGTGGAAGGAAGACTAAATCCACTCTTAAGATGTGAGAGAGCATCGCTTTACTGGTGTTTTTACTGGACTATAAAGCAAAAGTCTGTGAGGTATGGTCTTTGAATTAAAAGCATTAGTCTGTAGTCTTCAGGGAACCTCATTGTCTTACTTCCTGTCCAGGTACATCTTGTACGTGTCCGAGACGGAGGAAACTTAGTTTTGTGAACATGCACAGTCACGTACTGTCCTGCAAAGATCTGAGCGATGTCTGCTCAGGTTGGTGTAGTCCAACAGGACCAACAAGGCGGCGTAATTACCTCTGTCTGGACACATAAAACAGACACTTCTGGGGTTACACCGGGGCAGGCACCAGGACTGTAGCACTGAGGTCACTGGAAAACCTTTCCTCGCCTGTAGCCACAAGTGGCATTTAAATGGCACAAGTGTGAGTCATAAATTCATCAATATTCTCAATCCATACGTGCTCTCCGTCTCTCCAAAGAGAGGCTGCAACCAGAGCAGTTTGATTTCAAGAAGCCCAATACGTGTGTGGGCTAAGTTTAGCCCTGAGTGATGACTGTAAGGTGCCTCCAGGAGCGAGTGCAGGAAAGCAGGCCTGTTGTTGGCTCCTCCAGTGACACAGCCTCTCACACGCCAAGAAGTACAAGAAAGACAGCTTCCAGCAGCATCAGGGCTATAAATAACTCCAGCAGCACCGCAATATTAGTGGGCGGATTAGGAGTGAGTCATCACTTCATATTTTTAAACCTAATGTATTCATATCTAGTTGTGGTTGATTCATAGTGAGTGTTGTATAGTTTGGGTTTAAAAAAAAAACTTCTTGTTCACTTCTGCGTTTGTGTTTTATTCTTTCCATTTCTGGTTGTAGACTGACCAGCATTTGCTGCAAATAATTCATGACGTTTCGTTTCACCTGCTCCAGGGAATGACATCAACATGATGTGCATGAAAACTACAGATACTGAAGCAGGTGACGTCAGAGGCAGGACAAGCTTTCAGCTTCAGCAGCATTTCAAGAGGAACACTGCATCTGTTAGTATTCTGCTGCCATCTACAGGTCCACGCTTTGGTCACAATGACTTGATCCCAACATCATCATCATCATCATCTCAAAGTCTGATCCAAATGTAAAGAAGTGACACTGCATGAGGTGCCGTTTGTAAAGTTACACAGTTGGAAATTAACAGCAATATTTTGGTTTATTTAGCCTTTAATAATAAGAAAAAGTTTTTATTAGTCATAGTTCCACCATATTATTCATGCATTTATAAATGTCATAGTTCCAAACTAAATATTTAACTTGCAAGTTAAGTATTTAGTTTGTTCACTAAATGTATAACTTGTAAATTAAATATTTAGCTTGGAACTATGACGTTTATAAATGTAAGAATAATATGGTGAAACATAACTGATTAAAAAAACACTTTTTCTTATTTAAAGGGTAAATAAACCAAAATATTGCTGTTAATTTCTGAGTGTGTAACTTTACAAACGGCACCTCGTAACACCGTCTCTGGAGTCGATGCTAAAAGTAAAAGCAGACGTAGCAAGACAACATTTTTTTATTTAGAAATCACGTCAGAGAAATAAATTCCAGGAGCTACAGAAGTTCGTTTACATGTTCAAATCATGAAAAAGCTAAATATCGAGATAAATGTTTCAAACAGCACTCGTATAATGTGAACCAAATAAAAACGTACGAATAAAACGCTAAAAATTTTAACTAACTGATTTCACCGCGCTGACTTTGGAAGTCAATGTCTGTAAGCATTTATCTATTCCTTCACAAAAGAGTAAATTATAAAAAAGTATTGGTGAAGGCTGCACCTTTGGGTGAAACATGCGTTCATGGCATGTTCTGCCACAGAGCTCTGCTGCAATTCAAGTACAGGGTTCTCCTCACCGTCACAAGAACCACCTCTTTTTTTACTGGTTATTAGAGAAAACTGAGAGTCTGGTTAATTCCAAGGACAAAGGCTTGACTTTTAAGAAAAGTGCCCCATTAAAGCTCGCCTGGCTTCAGCCATGTGATGACACAACACGCCTCAGGCTGTAGATTATATAAAGAGTGGGCTGCCGTGGTAAAAGCAGTTCACTAATTTAAACAAGGATCACCGTTTCCTGCAGGTCAAATATGTTGTTCTTCTACTTTGGTGGAATATGAAGTTACTTTGAAATACAATCCACTCCAGTCCACGAGCGCGCAGACTGCCAGAGAGGGTTCCCCTCACGTTTCAGACACACAGCCTCCAGGACACTTTGAGTGAGACACGTAGATCTTCACACGACGCACAGATCCGTGGTAACAGCTGCGGACTGGTATAAGTGCGTTCACGTATGGAACTGTACTGGATGAGATCACCTCCACGCTATGAATGGGTTGTACGGGGAAAATTAGGCCATTTTCTGTACATTTCAAGAACGTCAAAACCAGTCAACGCTGACACATATGAGCAAGATAAAGAAAGAGCTTAAAGCACTACAACAAATAGTCAAAGTGTGACATCATTCTGTGCGGTCGTCAGTGTATCTTATGAACGAGGACAGATTCTAAACTGTACTACATTCATTTAAATCTGCAGGAGAAAAAAACATTAATCCAGAATAAAGAAGTGTCTTCGATGCATTCATTAACCAGTGACAAGTGTACTGAGAACAAATACACAACACAGGAGCACAAATACTAGCAAAGCAATACGTTAACTTAGCAGACATGGATCATACTCAGAAGTAGCACTTCTACTCATCTAGATGAAACAAGGTGATGATTTTAAACCTGATACCATCCACGAAGGAGTTACCATGAAAGCGTGGAGTGTTCTTGTGCAGGTTTGGTGATAAATCAGTGTGATCTTGCGTGGACACTCCCTAACAATGTTCACAGCTGTGTTGGGCAGGACTGCACAGTGATGCATAAATGAGGGACTATTTTTTGGGGAAGCCTATACAGCAAGAACAGATCCAGCACGTTATTCTTATAATCGCCGGTCCAAGGTCATATGCTGGAGACGAGGAAGGAGGCGTGCGGGGGTTGAAGTGAAAACTTCACTGGCCACTGAGTCTGCAGGTGGTGATGCACAGCACAGAGGCGGAGGGGTCAAAGGAGAGGGAGAGAGCACATGTCCAACACTCATGAGTTGTCAGAGGGGACGTGCTCTTCAAAGCCCTCACTCTCCCTAACCAGCGCTCTCTCCAGGATGACACGTCCCTCTTTGTACCGCTGACTGTCCTCCGTAGCGAACTCATAGATCCAGCCCAACTTGCTGTTGCAGTTCTTGCAGCTGACATCCCTCACCATGTGCCTGCCGGTGAGCATCACTCTGTCCTGAACTTCGCTGTACTGGAGGTTCACCACCTGTGGACGCGAGACAGAACCATGACACTTTTTCCGAAGCGTGCAACGTGAATATGTGCACACCGTAGGGTTGGGGAGAGCATGTAACTGCTGGTGGCTTCACACTTCACCGTACCTTATTGAAAAGGAAAGCTCTGCCTGTGGCTCCTGTGAACCGTGTGGAGATGAGCTCAGAGCGGTTGGTCAGAATGGTGTCGCAGTTAGCGCAGGAGAAGAGGCGAGTCCCACCGATGTGGTCCAGGAAAATACGTCCCATCGTCTCACCGGTGGAGTTACAGAGCTGTTCTCACAACCTGAAAGGAAAAAAAGACTTGCAAATTACTGTTTGAAATTTAAACTACTTTAACGGTAGTTACAAAAGCCTCACACCTGAACATATCATGGCTAAGTAAAAATACAATTCAAAGAATAAATACATTTGTAAACTCTGAAAGGCTTTGAAATACTATTAATGGTGCCATCACTTAATGGTTGTTTGTCTCGTTTGTCTCTATGTGTCCCTGTGATGGACTTGCGACCCGTCCAGGGTGTCCCCCGCCCCTCACACAGTGATTGCTGGACATGGGCACCGGCGAACCCCGTGACCCAAAAATGGAAGAAGCGGGTAAAGATAATGGATGGATGGATGGATGGATGGATGGATGGATGGATGGATGGATGAGTGCCATCACTGAAGTTATGAGACCAAATTCAGTCGCAGTGTTTTTCAAAGTGGGGGCCGTCAGGGGGCGCTGGGCCTCAGAAAGCTGGAGAGGAGAATATTTTTTAAAAGCAAAAATAAAGTAATGATAATAATAAAAATTGTACACAAGAGCAATCTGTATCTGTTGTTTCCAGATAAACACACTTGAGAGAAGTTATATTTCTTTAGTTTTGTTCTTCTGGTCAACAGTTTGTTGAAAAGTTGTGTTTTCGGTGGGAATATGTTTAAAACATGTTGGTTAAAAACATTTTATGCTCAGCAGCTGTAATAATTAATTGAATATAGTGAATAAAAGTTAAAATGTTCTAAAAGTTGATGTTTCTTTACATGTTTTGTAGCATTGTTTGTGGGTTTGTGTGTGGGGGGGGGGGGCACGTCAGGGAAAAGTTTGTGAACCCCTGATTTAGGAAATCAAAGATAAAAACTGTTTATGTCAAGCTTTCAGTCACAAGGAAGAAAAGGTTTAGCAAATATTTTTACTCTTTTTTTAATTCACTGTCGGCTAGGATTAAATGAAAAGGTCCAATAAGGAAAGCACACGTCAAAACAAAAGCATTGATTTCATTTTAAACTTCAACGTTGTTGGTTTTACTGCTCATTTTGTAGCTACAGGGATCAAAGAGTCCAACAATCTGACCATTGATAATGTGGAGCGTGACATCTTGTTTATTCTTGTACCAGTACTCAGATTTGTTAATACTTTGTCTCTAGCATGGCCCCTCGTCTCACACCATTAACACATGCAGATGTTTTCAGAAACGCCACATGTTGGTTGTTGACCGGTGATGTAATCAGTAAAACTGTTTAGTTTTGTATCATGAATTATTTCAGCCTGAATATTTTTGCCCGACTGATGGAAACTCACAACAATCAGTGCAAGTCAAATAAATTCATCCCACTGTTTTAGCAAGTGCATTTTTAATAAATACAGCTAATAATCAAATATTTTTGCTGCTTTCATTCGATCAGTTCTGTACATATTTGAGTTTAGAGGTCGACCAGTATGATTTTCAAGGCTGATACTGTTTTTTTTTTGTTGTTTTTTTAAATCAGGTTAGCCAATGTTCGACACACAACAATAACTGCTGCTGCTTCATTTTCCACCTTGGTAACTGATTAATTACATGCAGGACCGACTGGCAATTATCTGTTTATTTAAATTAGTCTTGTTTTTTATTAAACCTTTATTTATACAGGATTGTCTCACTGAGTCACGAGGACTCATTTACAAGAGAGACCTGTTTAAATAATCAGTCTATTTGTATTTGGGCTGTAAAATTAATATTTTTTTCTATTATGATAAAATTGAGAACTAAATACTGACAATAAGACAAACATAAAATGCCAATAAAGTAAGAATAAAAATATTAAAACTACATTAAGGTTGACTTGTGATTTTAGAACGAGAAAAACAGAAGAAAATACAAGAAGATAAAACCTATAATTCGGGGAGTGATGGTGCAGAGGTTAGAGAAGGTGGGCCTGTGATCGGAAGGTCGTCGGTTCGACTCCCAGGACCAACGACATCAAAACGTGGGTGGGAAAGGTGGAACACCCACACCTGCCTCTACCCTGGGCCCATGAGCAAGACCCTTAACCCCCACCATCTGCTCCCAAACTTCTCCTTTGAAAATGAATCCTCATAACTCAATGAGACTACCTGTATAAGGTTAAATTAATTAAATAGCATCACAGGTACATTCACTGAACACAACCTGGAGGTGCTCTCATGAGCTTTGTGTTGTTATTCAACCTGACACAGTTTATCAGTGCCTCCATGTTCCTCACAGAACTGTCATGACTGCAATGACAGCTGGGCTTTCAGCAGAGCCACAACAACAAAGACACCAAAGCAACAGCTCTTTTTCACACTGAAGCCCTGCCTTTAGCTGGATGTGGTGCTAACCAGAGAGGCTTGGTGATCAGTCAACCTCTTGTTGAATCAGTCAGAAGTGAAAGAAACAAACGTCAGGTTAGCTGCTCAGCTAACAGCAACAACAGGCTAAACTGGGAAATACAACTGAACACATTTCAGGCTCTTACCTTGTTTGAAAAGGAGTTTAATTAAACAGAATATGTTCGTTTAGCGGCGGTGTCACCAAATGTTGGATCTGTTTTTTCAACCCCAGTGTTGTGGTTTTGCCGTCGCGGCTTTGTTTTCCTCTTTCAGCTGTTCTCTGCGTCGAGCTCCGAGCTGGTATCAACATCCGGTGATGACGTAGCGGCTCCTGCTGCAGAGACGCGCGTGGCTGTTCCAGTCCTGCGCGAGGCGCAATAAGCGTGAATGTGTTTTTTTTTTAGGAGTTCATGGCAAACAGAAAACACATGTACATTGTTTAACCTGGGCATAAAAGCAGAAGCAGCTTGCAGGTGCCAGCGGACTCAGGTGACAAAACACAATTCAATATGAAACAAATAATTTAATAAAATAGTTCCTGCACAGTTTGTATTTAGGTGTGTTATTCCTGGGACAAACACTCGTTGACCAAATAAATAAATGACACTTCATGTCAGAGGCAGAGAGATTTGTCATTAGCATCTCATGTGGTACATGTGGTGGAACGAGATTTTGTACACAGGGTCCCAGTTACATCCAACAATAAAATGTAAAAGAAAAACAGTAATAAGATATGAACTAAGAAAAACATCAGCTAAATATACAATAAGCACTAGTAGCATAAAAACATTACGTCGAGCAGCAGCACGAACATGAGTCTGTGTGAGCAGATGAGCACGCATGAATACAACATGAAACAGATCATCAGCAGCATGAAACAGATCAGCAGCAACATGAAACAGATCATCAGCAGCATGAAACAGATCAGCAGCAACATGAAACAGATCAGCAGCAACATGGAAACAGATCAGCAGCAGCATGAAACAGATCAGCAGCAGCATGAGGTGATTTTTCACAGTGATTATTCTGGTTAGAGATTCATGAGTCTAACAGCCTCAGGGTAGAAGCTGTTCCTCAGTCTAATGGTTCTACATGTAATGCTCCTCAACCTCCTTCCTGAGGGGAGCGGGGCAAAAAGTGTGTGTGCTGGGTGAGTGGGGTCCTTCATGATGCAGGTGGCTCTCTTCCTGCATCTGGAGGTGTAGATGTATGTGATGGTGGGGAGGCTGATTACAACATCTTCTGTGCAGCCTTCACCACTCTCTGCAAAGCTTTTCTTTCTGCAGCTGTGCAGCCTCCATGCCACACATTGATGCTAGTAGAGTCTCTGATGAGCTTTCTTCATCAGGCTGGTGGTGTTGTTGCTCCAGCTGAAGTTGTCATTCAGGTGTACACCCAAGTACTTGTAGCTGGAGACCACTTCCACCGCAGATCCTCTTATGTTCAGGGGGTGGGGGTAGGTGAGTTTGTTCCTTCTGAAGTCCACAATCATCTCCTTTGTCTTCTTCACATTGATGTGAAGGTTGTTCTTCCTGCACCAGCTCTCCAGGTGTTCCACCTCCTGCCTGTAGTTGGACTCATCATTGTTTGTGATGCATCCCACCACATCTGTATCATCTGCAAACTTTACAATGTGACAGCCTGGATGGGCAGCTGCACAATCATACGTGAGCAGAGCGAACAGGAGAGGGCTCAGTACACATGACCATGAATGTAATAGTCCCAAATGAAAAAAAATAAAAAAATCCAGCAGAACAATGAGTACAAGTAGAAGCATCATAAAGAGTGCAACATGTGTAATATTTATATTTTTATGCAACTTGCCATGACACAGCATATTGTTAACAATTTGGCTCTGTGACGGAAATCTGATAACAATAAAGCCAAGGTCAGTCCATCTATAAAGTTGCTCTAAAGCCAGACTTGTAAAGTTTATCGCAATTTAATCATATTTGTCATCATACCCAAAAGTAAAAGCTGTCTAATTTTACTGAACTGCTGGTTGTTAACATGTAACATTGAATAAACCCGGCAAAATATACAGGTGCTGGTCATAAAGTTAGAATATCATGAAAAAGTTGATTTATTTCAATAATTCCATTCAAAAAGTCAAACTTGTGTATTATATTCATTCATTACACACAGACTGATATATTTCTAATGTTTATTTCTTTTAATGTTGATGATTATAACTGACAAATAATGAAAACCCCAAATTCAGTATCTCAGAAAATTAGAATATTACTTTAGACTAATTAAAAAAGGATTTTTATAAATGTTGTTCAACTGAAACATATAAACATGAAAAGTATATGTACAGCACTTAATACAAAGTATTTAGTTGTTGCTCCTTTTCCTGGATTACTGCAGCAATGTGGCGTGGCATGGAGTGGATCATTGTGTGTCATTGCTCAGGTGTTCTGAGAGTCCAGGTTGTTCTGGTGCCTTCAGCTCTTCTGAATTGTTGGGTCTGGTGTATCACATCTTCCTCTTCACAAATACTCCATAGATTTTCTATGGAGTTAAGGTCAGGTGTGTTTGCTGGCCAGTTAAGAACAGGGATATGGTCCTTAAACCAGGTACTGGTAGCTCTGGCACTGTGTGCAGGTGCCAAGTCATGTTGGAAAATGAAATCTGCATCTTCATAAAGTTGGTCAGCAGCAGGAAGAAAGAAGTTCTCTAAAACTTC